ACCTCATCTCTACAATAAATCAAAAATGAGCCGGGCGTGGTAGCGCACACCTGTAGTTCCGGCTACTCGGAAGGCTGAGGCAGAAGAATCGCCGGAGCCCAGTGGGTCGAGGCTGCGGTGACTGGGAGCGGCCACTGCACTCAGTCTGGGCGACAGAGTGAGACTCCAACTCTGTCACCGAAACATCCATCCCTCCGTCCCAGCGGGAGACACATGAGCCCATCAGAAACACAATCACACTTCCCGGGGCTGCCCCGGGCGGGTTGGGGGGGAAGGGGGGCGACCACCATCCACAGACCTTTGACGACTCGCTGATCTTGTACGGCCGAGACACTCGCCTACTTCCCTCCATCCTCAGAGATCCCGCGGCCCTGCGGCGAGAGCAGGATTTCTGAGTGTGCAGCCGTGCCTCTGGGTCATTCCTTAATTGCAGGCCCTGCTGGCAGACAACAAGGACAAGAGTGAAAACGTTCACACGGGGGAGAGAGGGAGAGGGGACAGTGGGCTGCAAAGAAACTTTGACGCCGTGAGTGGAGGAATACTCAGCTTGTTGGGACGGGATGGAACATTTCACATCCACCATCTGAAATTGGACAGCTTCATGCCCTCCAGCTCGCATGCACACACCTACCTTTGGATGTTTGATCTGAATGAGGAGGCCTTTGGCTAGATCAAGGTCATAAGATGATGGTTATCATCTCAGAGCCCCGATGACAACCCCGGGACCAAGCTGGGGGACTTCCAAGGGACACCTCATTTAACCCTCACCAACACTTGGCCAGGCCGATGTCACCCACCCCACGGCACAGACGAAGATACTGATCTCATGATCACAAAGCCAGCCAGTGGCTGAGACTCACGCCCAGGTCTGTCCCACTTCAAAACAGAGCCCCCTCTCCAGTCTCTGAGTGTCCTACTTTTAAAATACCACGAGGAAGTTGAGGACGTGGCGTAGTGATGACCACGACACAGGAAGTACGTCCTAGACACGCACAGTCTCCAAGAAGTTCTATGTGTCTTCCCTCGAGGCCAGCACCCATGGGGATTAAATGTGGCCTTGATTTTAGGGAGGATGCGGACGGCGGGGAGAGGGCATGATCTGCCTAGCGTCACGCCACTAGGAATGGGCCGAGTTGGGATTCTGAAGGGGAGATGTCCCTGCTCTCAACACCCCACTCTCCTGAGTGGACATGTACACACACAAGCCGGAAAGCCGGAAGCCCACAGGCAGGAAACCCCTGCTGGGGCTTAGGCCCTGCTGTGATCACAAACTTGAGCAAACGTGCTAACCTCTCTGAGCCTCACAGTCACATCTGGAGAATGGGCTGGTGCACTGGGCAATGCTGGGGTTTCCACAGCACGAAAGCGCCCAGCCACTCACTCACAGCAAAGAGCTAGGTTTGGGGGGGGGGTGGTTCAAGAATGGCGGGGCTAGGGGTGGAGGGACAGAGGAAGGACTAAGTCAGCAATATTAGCACAAGTCATGTCCTGGGACTGAGGATTCCTGCTGTCTGAGTTCATGCGAAGGGTCGATCCGTTACCTATTGAACGAACAGTCTTTGCTAAGAAAGGACAATGTGACAAGAAGTCACCACTGTTCTGTGATAAGAACGAAGGGGGTGGGGCTCGGTGTTCCCACGGGAGGAATGAGTTGGGCACAGCCTAGCCTGTCAACTCCCCCGGGAAAGGAAGGGATGGCTAGATTTCTCTTGACAAACTAGCAACTCTGTGACAGCGACAAGCTGTTCCCACCACCCCCTCTTCCAGGCTGCCCCAGGCTGCCGGCAGCCCCGAGAAGGAAGGGAAGAAAAGCGGAGGGCAGCGCCCCTGCACCCCAGACATCGTTCCACCCTCACCCTCTGAGACAGGTGCCACCAGCCTCCCACAATGGGACGCCACGCTCGGGTGGCCGAGGGGCCTGCCCAAGGTCAGCACAGCAGAAAGCGGCAGGTGCCCTCTCTCCGCCGCCCCAGGCAGGCTGCCAGGGCTCAGCTGTGTCCTCAGACGCGAAGCTTTCTTTTCTAGGCCACGGTGTCTGGAGAGCGTCCCTAGGCTGGAGGCTGCTTTTGTCTCCAGGCAAGTGGTCGGCGAGCCCGCCCGGGAGGACGTCCGCTGCCTCCGGGGCTTGGGGGCAGCAGCCCAGGGTCAAGGCCACCCCGCACGCAGCGGGGAGCCCGAGGTGCGCGTCAGAGCAAGGCCACGGCCGGGACGGCGCA